GAATTTTGAATAATTATTTATGTAAGGTATATTTTTACTGTTAAAATAAAAAATATTCTTAATTATTTCTTGGATTGTTTAACTATTGCTTGTTAAAATTTAACATTATACCATATACTAAAAATAATTTGATTTAATACTTAACATTAATAGATGGTGTAATGATTGATTTGTAAAAATTAATTTTTTGCAAGAATTTATAAGAATTTAAATTAAATTTAAGCTACAATCTTATACAAAGTTGTACAATCTTCTAGTTTATTCTAATTATTGTGATTATTTTAATAAGTTTTTAGTGATTATGATTAAATTGTTTTGTAATTTCAGTGATAACTTGTGTCGAACTCTATGTTCCGTTCAATTCTGGTGGTCTTCGCGGGAATATTACTTTCACTCAAGAGAGACAATCAGGGATTGTCAACATTGCTGTCTACTTGACCACCACTTCCACTACTATTCCGCGACAATTTGAATGGACTATAAATGAATTCCCAGTGTTTTATGACACACGAAATCCGTGTTCTGCGACAGAAGTGGGCAAATCAGAGCACGATATGTCTCGAAGACATGGACCCATTCAGATCCCACCCATTGATAATAAAGTGCAAACTTTTTCCGACTCCGATATTTCATTGCAAGGAATGTCCAGTATTTGGGGAAAGTCTGTAACTTTAAGGGACACTAATAATAGCGAACACAGGGCCTGTTCTAACGTATTCACCACTGGAGTGGTTAAGACTGCTTTGGCCACATTGACCGACACTATTGCCGGAACTGTCCTCTTGAGGGAGAATCAAAGGGGAGAGACATTAATATTTACTAATCTTTATAATACAGGCAACGAATACAAGTCCGCCTCTAGAAATGAATGGAAAGTTTTGGTGACCGATATCTTTGACTCAAAACGCGATCGAAAGTGTGAATACTTGCAGACACTTTTGGACCCAAACAATGTGGACGATAGCCAGTGCTCGACAACTGACCACAAAATGTGCAAAATTGGAGACTTAACTCGAAAACACGGGATGGCTGTCGTCGGCTCTAATAACAATCGATACTCAAAGAAACTGTCAATTGATCTCAATTTTCCGCTCTCAACACTTGAATCCAGTCGTGGACTGTATGTGACATTATATGACAAGAGTAGTGCTAAGCGTGTGATTGGATGCGCAAAACTGGAACCAATAGAGCCCAGAGAAGTGAAGGCCATCTTCTCTATGGATGGGGTCAAGGGTTCCATTCATTTCAGTCAAAGTTATCGAACTGATCCAACTGTGGTCACCATTAAGTTATCTAATTTGCGCGGAAGGGGGAAGTGGTATCACATCCACGAGCTTCCATTACCCATACACCAAACAAATGAGGATCAACTCTGTTCTGCTCAGTCTGTCGGAGGACATCACAACCCATTTGGGATCGACTCGAAGTCGGGCCCGGCAACGGGTGTTGGCACTAGTGATCAGTACGAAGTGGGAGACTTGAGTGGAAAATATGGGCCATTGAGTGAAGAACAGGACGCCGACACATTTTGGAGCGTTTTTGTTGACTTGAATTTACCACTCTTTGGGATCAATAGTATTGTCGGACGTTCTGTTGTCATCCATAGAGGCAGTGGTGAGCGTTGGATCTGCGCTAACATAGGATATCCCAGTGCAGTCACCACAGCTGTGGCCACATTTTTCTACCCTATCGTCGGGTATGTCATCTTTCGTCAGGAGAAGGACAACCCATGGGCTGAGACGACTGTATTGGCAGAATTGAGTTACTCGGATGGAAGTGTGAACACAACAGTAGGTCATAATTGGCACATCCATGTCAATGAACACAATAAAGACTTCTACAACTGGAGCAGAAGGTGTGAGAGCGCGGGCGACCATTTCAATCCTTTTAATGTAGGGCTCGGCAGGACTTATAGCAGTTTATGCACTAATGAAAACCAATTTCGTTGTCAAGTCGGAGATTTGACTTCAAAATCAAAGAAACTAACGATAGCTTCTCATAAAGGGAGCGCCAATAATAAGTTGTTTTATACGGACACTTTGCTACCACTGTCTGGACCCCATTGGGTGAGTCTTGTAATGTTTTTTAAGAGATATCGTGGGCTAACATTTCATTGATTATGTTTAGCACTCCATAATCGGTCGCTCTCTTGTAATTCACGACGACTCGGCTCCACAGCAAAGGGGTGATCGACTGGGATGTGCTGTGGTTCGAGTGATGCACTCTTTGACAGCTGCCGTTAGGAATTGGAGGACCAGTTCCGGTATTGTGTCCAACATATCGGGTTCAGTAGTGTTGCACCAGGAAAGCCCTTATGATGAGACATCAATTAAATTAGATTTACATGGACTCAATGGATTTGCTTCTGGATACCACATCCACAAGGTATATAGTTTTTATACTTTAATGCTTAACTTATAATGTCATATACTTTACAATTAGCTGATTTATAATTAGCGGGATTGTTTTGCAAAAATTCTATTAAGCTCTTATTAATTTACAATGTTAAACCATGGCACCTTGTTCTGACTACTGTACTTAAAACATTATAAGTTGCGACAAAATTGATATTATTTTTTAGTTAATTTTCTGTTTTAGTTTTTTTAGTTAACAAAGTATACAAATCAATCTCAAAATTGACAGTAATTTGTTTGATAATTTGTTCACATTTTAGGTATGGGTTCCGATAGACAAAGAATTTCCCTGTTCTAGTGATGCATTTTTAGTTTTTTTAGTTAACAAAGTATACAAATCAATCTCAAAATTGACAGTAATTTGTTTGATAATTTGTTCACATTTTAGGTATGGGTTCCGATAGACAAAGAATTTCCCTGTTCTAGTGATGCAGTCTATGGCCATTATAATCCGTTTGGTGTGGATGTCTCTGTGGGACCTTTTCCTCAAATTGGTTCAGTAGATGAGTATGAAGCGGGAGATCTGAGTGGAAAGTTTGGTCTCCTTGATGACAGACACCATGAAAGACTTGATTTAATTGATCTCAATTTGGATCTTCGGGGACATAACACAGTGATCGGCCGATCGATTGTCATTCACAAAAAGGAGAAAAACTTTCGTTGGGTTTGTGGAACCATTCGTTGTGAAGTGGTATAACTCTTGCAATTGAATTTAGTTTTAATATTAATTAGTAATAGTTAATAGTAGTTAATAGTAATATAGTTAATAGTTAATATAGTAGTTAATAGTAATATAGTTAAATAGTTAATAGTAATAGTTTTAATATTACTATTTAATATTGTAATGAACTCTAATCAACTATATCGCACTCATACCGCAGAAAAAAGATATGGCTCGGGAAGTGGTGGGGTTGGCCTCATTCGACGAACCCAGACATCTTATATCTGGTTATATTCGGTTTCGACAGTTTCAATACTTTGATGGCAGTCTTAGTGACACATGGCTTGATGTGGACCTTAAATACCCGGGTCTTAATAACCGTAACGTAACCTCAGGCCACAATTGGGCCGTTTATGTGAGTTCTGTGGGAGAGGATGCGTTCAACCAAATAGATTCTGTCCGGTGTTTGGCTGCGGGCTATCGTTGGAACCCTTATCTTAGCAAAGATGACGTCGACATCTATAAGAAAGACTGTAGTCCTTTGAATCCACTTCGCTGTGCAATGGGAGACCTGAGTGGTCGACACGGCTTTCTATCGGTTGGCAGTGAACGCACTCTCATATCAGACCCAAATTTGCCGCTCTCTGGCAACTATTCAGTTATGGGCCGATCGCTCATTATATTCAAAACCAATGGAGATGTCATACCTTTGGGTTGCGCTAACATTAAGCCTGACGTACATCTCGTGAGTAATGTTGCCGTTAGAAAAAACCCGGCCTTCACTGTCGCCAAATTCATGTCTCATATGAGAGCTCTTCTCAACACAACTGATTGGTTAGTTGTACCTGATATTCACTACACCAAAGACATTGCCAATAATGAATGTGTTCAGTTATCCGTCAACTTTTATGGTGAGCATATGGAGACCGTCTCATGCATTTTTAATTTAAATCTCTGGTTGTCCTATGAAATCAGGTGCAGAAGCCCATAAACTTCAGGTTGAGTTCAGTAATCTAATCAATTTGGGAACTGTTAAGCGACAAACACGAACCGGCATTCAATCCGTGTCAACCTTTTACAAGCCGTGCAAAACTTGTAAGATTTTACCATTTCTATGACTATTTGATCATAAAACTAATGAAATTTATTATATGCAGTGAATGATAGGCCAAACAAAGCATCCAAATCATCAGTGCTTTCTATTTTATTAATTTCTAATATTTTGTTAAGTATTTTATTTAATTAATATATTTTGTAAATGAAATATTCATAATTGTTTTATTGTTATTTAAATTAATACTCATTTGTTATAATGTTTTAAAAGGCTGTGATATATCGAATAAAGTTTTATATTAAAACCATTAACTTTGTGCGGATATTAAACTTCCGGACCACTAGTATGATATGATATTTGGTTCATTTCCTTGACTACAGTTGTACTGTATTTTGAGATACCTTTTGAGTCACATAAAGAATTGTTTAATTTGCAAAAGAGTTCAAATGTCTAAATTGGATGAAAACCGTATCCAAGAGTTATTGGATGCTTTGTCTTTAACTCCAGATTTAAATGAAACTAAAATACTTAAAACTCAACTTCAGGTAACTTTTCATTAAATTTCATTAATAATCTTATATCTTACTATTTTGAATTCAAAATTATACACTCAAATATACTACACAATATTAAATTATTGGNCATTTTAGTATCCATTTTAGTATCCATTTTAGTATCCATTTTAGTATCCATTTGATTCATATTCTTCACTTTAGGTTCATGTTTATCATTAATCTTATGACTAGACTTTCTTCCCACTGAGAACCTGTCCATTGGAGTCATATTTTTATCACATTTTCTCTTTTCATTTGCAATTCTTGACAATAAGTTGACTTTGAGTTTAAGTTCATTCTTCACATCATTCAACTGTTTTTCACTACTTTTCATGTAATTCTCTGCCAAATCTCGTTTGAACGACAAATCTATTAAATGTCTTTTCATTTGAATCTTATCTTTATTCAGAACTGAAATCTCGTTTTTAAGTCTTTTAATTTCATTGCAATTATTTTTATCTTTTTGCTCCAATATTAGGATCTGATTGTGAGTTGACTATTGATTATAAAAACTAAATTTATGTTAAATTTATTACATTTAGTATTACTACATTTTAAAATTATTTTCAAATTGTATCACTACACTTTACAGTAAGTATTTTATAAGCATTTTTTAAATTTTAGAACTTCCAAAAATATTCATTTATGGAAATAAATTGTTAGAAAAAGATAAATTGTTGTAAATGTTTGTTACTGTATGTATTTCAAGTAGAATTTTAGTTGTACTTATATTTCCTAATATCATAAAAATAAGATATATTCAGTTTTCACTAAAAGTTATAAGTTTACTTTTACCAATGTACTGTATTCAGATTATCTGAATCAGATATATAAAAACATTTCAGTATTCTCATACCAATAATTTAATATTGTGTAGTATATTTGAGTGTATAATTTTGAATTCAAAATAGTAAGATATAAGATTATTAATGAAATTTAATGAAAAGTTACCTGAAGTTGAGTTTTAAGTATTTTAGTTTCATTTAAATCTGGAGTTAAAGACAAAGCATCCAATAACTCTTGGATACGGTTTTCATCCAATTTAGACATTTGAACTCTTTTGCAAATTAAACAATTCTTTATGTGACTCAAAAGGTATCTCAAAATACAGTACAACTGTAGTCAAGGAAATGAACCAAATATCATATCATACTAGTGGTCCGGAAGTTTAATATCCGCACAAAGTTAATGGTTTTAATATAAAACTTTATTCGATATATCACAGCCTTTTAAAACATTATAACAAATGAGTATTAATTTAAATAACAATAAAACAATTATGAATATTTCATTTACAAAATATATTAATTAAATAAAATACTTAACAAAATATTAGAAATTAATAAAATAGAAAGCACTGATGATTTGGATGCTTTGTTTGGCCTATCATTCACTGCATATAATAAATTTCATTAGTTTTATGATCAAATAGTCATAGAAATGGTAAAATCTTACAAGTTTTGCACGGCTTGTAAAAGGTTGACACGGATTGAATGCCGGTTCGTGTTTGTCGCTTAACAGTTCCCAAATTGATTAGATTACTGAACTCAACCTGAAGTTTATGGGCTTCTGCACCTGATTTCATAGGACAACCAGAGATTTAAATTAAAAATGCATGAGACGGTCTCCATATGCTCACCATAAAAGTTGACGGATAACTGAACACATTCATTATTGGCAATGTCTTTGGTGTAGTGAATATCAGGTACAACTAACCAATCAGTTGTGTTGAGAAGAGCTCTCATATGAGACATGAATTTGGCGACAGTGAAGGCCGGGTTTTTTCTAACGGCAACATTACTCACGAGATGTACGTCAGGCTTAATGTTAGCGCAACCCAAAGGTATGACATCTCCATTGGTTTTGAATATAATGAGCGATCGGCCCATAACTGAATAGTTGCCAGAGAGCGGCAAATTTGGGTCTGATATGAGAGTGCGTTCACTGCCAACCGATAGAAAGCCGTGTCGACCACTCAGGTCTCCCATTGCACAGCGAAGTGGATTCAAAGGACTACAGTCTTTCTTATAGATGTCGACGTCATCTTTGCTAATAAAATCTTACAAGTTTTGCACGGCTTGTAAAAGGTTGACACGGATTGAATGCCGGTTCGTGTTTGTCGCTTAACAGTTCCCAAATTGATTAGATTACTGAACTCAACCTGAAGTTTATGGGCTTCTGGACCTGATTTCATAGGACAACCAGAGATTTAAATTAAAAATGCATGCTCAATGTAATTGAAAATATGCTCACCATAAAAGTTGACGGATAACTGAACACATTCATTATTGGCAATGTCTTTGGTGTAGTGAATATCAGGTACAACTAACCAATCAGTTGTGCTGAGAAGACCTCTCATATGAGACATGAATTTGGCGACAGTGAAGGCCGGATTTTTTCTAACGGCAACATTACTCACGAGATGTACGTCAGGCTTAATGTTAGCGCAACCCAAAGGTATGACATCTCCATTGCTTTTGAATATAATGAGCGATCGGCCCATAACTGAATAGTTGCCAGAGAGCGGCAAATTTGGGTCGGATATGAGAGTGCGTTCACTGCCAACCGATAGAAAGCCGTGTCGACCACTCAGGTCTCCCATTGCACAGCGAAGTGGATTCAAAGGACTACAGTCTTTCTTATAGATGTCGACGTCATCTTTGCTAA